CGTGCGAACAAGATGCTTTTAAAATTTTAAACAAGCAATTATCCTTGATTGAAGAGCGAATTAATCCATTTGACATTAATTCTTATGGGAAAAATACTTCTGGTTTTCGAATATTTCGACTGACGAACGGTCTTTAGGAATGAATTAAATGTTAAGCGAGGTTTTTTTAAGGCTCGAATTTAGCTCATACTATTCTTTTGTTTTGATTTTTCTCCATTTTCTTTTTCGTTTTCCTCAGAAAATATGTAACTGGATAGGCAAACTGAGATCATTTTTCCGAGTTGCATGAAGGAGATAGAAAGTATTTTCTTCGCCATGTTTCTAGTATGACTCTGCTGCCATGGACCACATGGCAATCGACTTCTAGAAATCTGTTTTCTATACCTCCCGATGCTGGTTGATGCTGCTAAAGTTATGGCTATTGGAATATTGCAATGCACAAAAAGGCTATCTGCCTAAGGGGAGAGATGCTTTATGGAAGACTTTCTCAGGAAACCTGGTTCGTGTGTACGTTACACATGGGGAAAACTAACCATGCAGCCAGCCCGTTCGCCTAAGATCGAACCCAGGTCATATTCACAGTATTTAGCAATCTTAGCCGCTTGACTCTTGTTGGGGCAAGGAAGCAGGACGTGAAGGTGTGAGTACAGATTTTTATTCACTACGAGATGACGAAGGAATCAGTTTTTGGTTTTAAACCTCAAACGTATACTTTACTCCTCTTCTTGAATTACGTATTTAATTTTCCATATAGTGATCGTAGATTAAAAAGGCCGGTTAGTAAAATTCTCGTCGTCCTGTAGTAAGTTAGATACGAAAAGTTCTGAATCTTAGCCTGCCTAATTTCGAAGTGATGTATTTTGGAGTGAATTTACTGACTTATATTACTTTGCAAGCGCAATTTTGATAATATAAAATACCCACCTTCAAATAATTTGGTTATGAAATACATTTTTTTCACCGACCTTTTTCTTTTACAGAACCGTATAAAAATTTTAATTTCGTATACCGTAAATGTAACTGTGTGGCAAAAGAAATTTGAGACCTTTATTATTCAATTCAATTCTTATATTGGAACCATGGGTCTCGGACGAACCATCAAAGACTTATTTACTTATACGAGCTATTTCTCAAAGAACCTATATATAAAAAAAAATTGTAAAATATATTGCCAGCTATGGTTTTCTTCCTGTCCCGAAGAAATAACCTAACATGTACTTTACGCAAAAAATGAGTAGCAATCAAGTTGACCAGCAGATGTCATGTATGAAATTTCAAAGATATTAAGCAGATTTACGAGCTGGAATGTAGTGCAGAATGTGAAGTCATTCACATAAAGTCATTCACTGTATTTAGAGTATGCTAAAGAAATGATAATTTTATTTAATGTTTGCTTTTAAACAGTTATGATGCTTAACTCTACACTGCTAATCTTAATACAGTCATGTGCAAAATTAAGATAATTTACATGTTTTGTTGAATTTCTGAAAAACTGGTAGACAGATTTTAATCAATTTGTTATGAATATATAGTTATAACAGAGAAAGAGATGTACCATTGAAATCTAATTTTTTGTATACATGATTAGTAAAGCTCATAGTACAGGGATCACCATAAGTCTCTGTGGCAATCGATCCAACTTGTGCAGCCGTTTTTAACTCCGAGATGGTTCTTGGAGGGGGATGACGAGATGAAATTGTCCCCAAAAGCGTCCCAGCCATATTCTATAAGGTTAAAGTCAACAGATCTGGCTGGCCATTCAATGTTGCAAATATCCTCACTTTCCAGGCAATCTTCGACCAGCTGAGCCCTATGTGGACGAGCGTTGTCGTCCATTAACAGGAACCCAGGACCAACTGCGCCCGCTGAAAAGTCGAACATAGGGCTCTAAGATCTCATCTCTATTTCTCATAGCAGTCAGGGAGTCTTTGTCCAACACATACAGGGATGTGCAGCCGTCCAACATAATGCCTACTCAAACCATTACGCCTCCACCACAGTTAATTCCTTGATAAGAGAGAGAGAGACAGTATTAGGCTCTCTCCACATATAGGTACACCAAGAATCAGTATTCAGGCTGAATCTGGACTCTTCTGTAAAAAAAGTACAATGCTCCACTAAAGTCTGGTCCAAGCTTATTGTCAACACCCTGTTAAACATGCACTGTTGTGTGTTGCAGTGAGCAGGACGTGAACAGCGGATCTTCTGGCATAGAGTCCTATCTTATGAAGCCTTAGGGGAACTGTAGCTTTCGGGCAACTGCAGACCGTGAAACTCGGGTTCCAGTGGCAGCATACAGTTCACATAAGAGCCCTGAAGCTGTAGTAGTCCTGTGTCGCCGCGCTGGAAGTGCCAAAGAACGATTCTCGTTCGTCGTTTGGATCTGGATCGACCTTATCCAGGTCTTCTCAATATGGATCCAGCGTCCTGAAACTATTTTCACAAGTTGAAGGTGACACTGGGCCACCTGAGCTCTGTATCCTCCTGGGCTTGTAATTGGCCAGTTTATTATTTCCTGAAACATTGTCGCATTTTTTTGTGTATATGTATGTATTTTCAGCTAAACGTGCTGTCGGCTAAATGTCTTGTCGGTTAGATGTCCTGCCGGCTATATATCCATGTCGGCTAAATGCTCTCTCTGCTAAATGTCCCTGTCTACTAAGTGTCCTGTCAGCTAAATGTTCGTGTCGGCTAAATGTGTTGTTGGCTAAATGTTCGTGTCGGTTAAATGACCCTGTCGGCTAAGTGTCCTGTCGGCTAAATGTCCTGCCGGCTAAATATCCGTCTCGCTAAATTTCGTATCGGCTAAGTGTAGGTGTCGGTTAAATGTCTTGTCAGGCTAACTGCTGTTGGCTAAGAGTCTCATCAGCTAAACAGTTGTCAGTTAAGTGTCTTCGACCGCTGTCATCCATACGTTCTTGGCTACTCATTTTACCTGATAGCTTATAAAATTTACTCAACTCTTGCGAGAAGCACGGTAGTACGAGCACACAAATTGCCGAAAATTCCCTTGCGCTGATATCCCCCCCCCCACAATCACAACCTCGCAGACACGAAAGTGCACGCTTATTCGACTCTGAATATTCGCATAATTCTTTGACGCCTTAATTAGTACGTTTAGTTGAATTTTTTTCGTAAAAATAGTCATAATTTGCAAATTGCCTTAATTTTATACTTAAGTGTACTTACTTCTTGTTACTTACCTGACGAGATGTGAGAGGAGTCTAACTGTGTGTCATACGAAACCATGGTCTTGGCATCAGATTGTTTAATGAATGAGGCTGTAAATAGTGTAATTTGTAAGCATTATCGATAATGGATATAAAATACAGAAAAGTCCAGAAAATGTCGAGAGAACCGTAGTCAGATATAGCTGGAAATTCATAAATTTTGGAATAACATGTTTCAAATGGTATGTGTTAGGGCATGCCTTGATTACACCTAACACAAAATATCACCGTTATCTTACGTATCGGTAATTATTTAAAAAAATCATTACTTTTTTCTGTTTGTTTTTAAGAATCATTTCCTTTCCACTATTTATTTATTAATTTCGTTTTTAGTCTCACAAATTAATTTCAAAATCATGGTTCTACTTTTTCATAACATTTTTTATTAACTTTATACTGCTGTATTTTTATGTCAATAAAATATCATTTCATTTTATTATTTCATGATAAGATGATAGGAATCATTATTTCACGACAAGATGTATAAAATAATTCTACTGAATTAAAACAGAACACAAAAATGTAAAACTCATTTTTTTAAATTTTTTAAAAGTTAAAATGGCTTAAAATATATATAGATATTTTATAATATTTGTTATTGTTTTTCATAAGTATTAAAAATATTTAATATAGATATAGAAAAAAACTTGCCTATCTAATGCGGCGAAATATTTTTGGGAATCCTGCGAATAAAATTATTTCAAATTCTTAGCGACGAATTTTGGTTGTCGAAATTACATATGGAGTTTTTCTAATTTAATTGTTGTCTAACGTTGAATTTGTTTGTTTCATCATATATTATCCTTTGACATTAATTTAATTTTTTATGGATGACATGTAAACTATTAATTTTCGTTCGCTTTCGTGGCCAAGAAGACCTTTTATAGAAATATAATCTTCTCGACTAATTTGTCACATCTTTTGGCGATGTCTGTGTTCAACACTTTTGCGGTTATCATCTTCAGGACCCACTCTTGAGAAGGATTGCATTTTTTTTTATAAATACGAGGATGCACTTCCACAAATGTTTTCGTTTAGCTCTTCAGAATATGTTATAGTTGCATTTTCAGGAATACTCGGTGTAATTTTTCAAAGATCTCTTATTATAAAAATTTGATCAGTTTCTAACTTGTCATCATGATCAATTGCTTTGAGAGCAATGAGTGGTCAAAAAAATTTATTTTCCATGCTTATGATTATTCAATTTAATATAAAGAAACTTTCGATAGTCTCTGAAATGATTTCACTAATATGGCGGATTCTTGGGTAACCTGTATAAAAATTTAACGTGGCAGACATGCCTAAGGGATCTGTTGTTAAGTTTAAAAGGAAAAGCAATCGCCAAAAATAATCGAATGGCCCTAAAAAGAGGGGGAATTAAAAGCAATGAGCGGTAACCACACCCGATTCTACTGGCAGTTAGTTGTCACAGAGAACCACGCCCTGTTCGGATGCTCCAAACACTCTCTCTGAACTAGATAAGAAAATAACATTACTGGTTCCGAAGTTACGCGTCGAACCAAAGCCTTTAATGCCGTGGTTTGTATCATCGGCATACGTAAATATCTCCGATTATTAGAATCGATCCGATAGCTTTAATGGTTTCCATGTCAACGGTCCAAACAACACTCTTTCACAGTATTTCACCTCAACCAATAAAAGAGCGATTTCCTTTGGTGACAAGCTTCATCTGAGATGGATTTCGGAGAGCAACTCATCGACTGGGTCCATTCGAAGCGCACGTGGTTAGCAACGTCTCTCGGGACGGAGCGCTGAATAATGAAAAGTTAATCCCTCTTGGCTGATGCCACTGGAAGCGAAGAAGTACCGTTCTATTTTCAGGAACTGTCTAGTGAAAATTCATTGACCTCGCCTACGTATTGGTTTTCACGCTAGCGATTGGTCGCTTTTTCAGAAACACCTGTTCCTGTTTCCGGAGCCACTGCGATCATGTTTGAAACTTGTCATTTTATCGCCGAACATGCTGGCAAGAGAATTGCCAGAACATCTCAAGTTGGGAACTATAGAAGGGCATTTTCGCTGCCGGTGGAGAGTGAGCAAGAGCGGTAATACTCTTACTTTTATAGCCAGACAGAAGTCCAGTAGAAGATTTAGACCCAGGATGGCCGCTGTGGGACGAGTACAACACCGATGGGACACAACTCGGCCTGTAATGATACCAAAACCGATTGTGCCCCCGAAAGCTCGAATGGTAACCTTTTATAGAAATGGAGATCCTTTTCATAGTGGGACTAAAGTTTCTATTATGCCAGGCAAAGATTTTGTATCTCTTGACAGTTTGTGTGATTACTTGACTCAGCGGATGAATATACCACATGGGGTTCGATTTATATTTTCTCTCACAGGAAGGAGAATTACTGATTTAGATGATCTCCTTGACGGATATTCCTACGTTGTTTCTGGTACCAAAAACTTTCAAGAGCTGGCTTATGGTCAATCAAATAGGATGCGTGCTGCAATGGTATCGAGAGCTCATCTTCCACTTGCCATCCGGAAGGAAGATCTCAAATTGTATCGGCCAGTGACCCCTCTTCCTTCTAAAGATTGGAGAGTAAGGACTCCCAAAAATCTTCGGAGTCGTTCTCTGCCGACTCAAAACGAAGGAAAAACTATTACTGTAGTTAATAGCCAAAATCCTACTGTTTTCAGTAGGGTGTTGTTAAACTTACGCACTACTCAGACTTTCGAAGAAATTGTGGAAGACTTGGGGCAAGCTATTAAACTTCCTCAAGCTAAAAGGATATATAATCAAACGGGAGATGAGGTAAGAAATTAAACATAACTATGCTTATTTTAATGACTAGGTTAGGTTTAAGTTAAATTTTATTATTTTCGATAAGATTGAATAGCTAAAATCTTTCTATTTGCTTTTGCATAAATGTTTCAAAACTCCATATTTACTGTTTGCATTGAAGCGCTCTGTTTACACTCATGAAAGGCTTTTCCAAATTTCCTTAGCATTCATTTAATATTCCTTTGCACTTATTATCCATTTAAATAAATAAATAGCAAATTGGTTAATCTTAAGTTAAAATTTTACTTTGTTCCATCAAGTCCTAAGGCTGCAGCGATGCATTTTAATTTTAAAACCGTCTTAGTTAAGAGGAAGATAGTGTAATACTATTTAATAGATAGAAATTATTTAATATTTAATACTATTTAATAATAATATACGTAGATACAGTTTGTATTTCAGTTTATATGCAATATGTAAGTTAAATGCATTGAAGTTATAATTTTTTTGCAACTACATACTATTTTTTCCTTAATATTTTCTTTGAATTTCACTCATTTTAAAGCTGCTCTTGAAGTTATTGCAAAATTTTAAGGAAGATTCTTTCAATTTCTCTGTCGTTCAAGAAACCTCAGAAACCACCGCCAGAGTATTGAACAATAATATTATCAAAGTTTATTACAATTATTATTAAAGAAAATCTTAACTACTCAAGCAGAAAATTTTATTTATTGTATTTCTGTAGAGATCGGGACCATATTTATTTTAATGAAACTTCATATCAAATTGCTGAGCGATGCAAGACAGTGTCAAATTGCTTGACACAAAACAGATTCAAGACCACTTGAAAGCCCTAAGTTTTTGAATTGAATAAAATTGAGAGTAAATTATTGCATCAAAAAACGGTAGATCATCGTTGATGACCTAATGACTTCTTGCTCTCGCCTATTACAGAAAAAAGACGTTATAATGAGTGATCGCTACAGAGAAAATTGATTGTAATATATTCTCAACAAGTGATAACTTCCTTACGGTAATGGGATGATCATTATAACGAGTGCTTTTTAAAAGAGCGTTAACTGTACTGCATATGTCTGAAATTCATTATATCGTAAGAAGTCAATTCTTGGATTGATAATAAATAAATAAATATATTGAAACTGCAATGCAATGGTTCTTATGCATTGCGGATGAAATAATCATTTTTAATAGGATTTCTTATTTTTTCTTCTTTTTACATCATTTTCTTTTTAGGAACTGCATTGTATTTAGCTTTTTCTATTTTTATATATCCCTCTATATCTCTTTTAAACTTCTCGTTGATTGAGTGCTTTCCGTTTTGAACCATTGTTCGAGTTTTTCCTTTTTTTCATATTTATATGCGATTGTTCCCCGCAGATTTCATTATCTGATACAAAATTTTGTTTTCTGCGCCCGAAAATTTGTTTAGACGTTACTCCACATGTTTTATTTCCCCCCCCTTTTGATAGTTTCATTTTAGGTCATTATATTATATGTCAGAGAGTGAAAGGGGGGATAGGTTTAACAAGTATGTTCATGACTAAATAACTTCTAAACCTAAAATTTGTTCTCACATTTGTCTGCCTACTTTTAACAGGTCTGCAAAACATTTTGCAAAAAGATACCTTTATAAGGAAATCTGTTACGGGAATCAGATCCAGTCATTCTTATGGTTAGAATGCATGGAGAAGAAAACTGTTTTTTATTCAGTGGCTATATGTCCTAGTTATTGCCCTTTTTCTTTCAAAGAAGTAACTTGTCAGAAGACTAGTTTTATTGCCTTAGTATTAAGCTTTCATTATCTCTGGCCAAATTCGAAGGCTTCAGCATCTAACCAGTGGCTCAGTCGATAAAACTGCTGAATATCGTAGTTCGAACAGGGTTCTTTTCTCGGCGAACGGGCTAACTTGAGATTTCCTTGATTTTTCCTATATCTAATGCAAATATGAGCCAGTTTCCCTAGTCCTTAACGAAGTCATCCATCTGTTAAGTAGAAAATTATGATGCGCTTTTCCTAAACCAATTTACCAAACTTAATATTTGTGTGTTTTCCGATTCGAAGGGTTCAGTGTTTCGATGTTACAACATATTCATTCGAAAGTTATCCGCATATGAATTGAAACCAGGTTTAAAGTATAACCAGATGACGAGTTCATTTGACTTAGGGACACCTTTTCTTATGTATTCTAGTTAATACTTGTCACAATTATAACATAAGCTTTCATGCGTATGAATTAAGTAAATGCTGAATATTTTTTTACCAAGGTATTACGTCTGTAATTATTCAAAGCATTTTTATTTTGTCCAGGAAAGTTTTCGGGAAATTCGAAGCAGTCTTATCTGTAAAACTTCAAAAACACTGTTTATTTTACTTCGGAAATATTGTGTGAAGTACCTTCTTACAGCTTTTTAATTTACTTCGTTAAAATGCGTGATGGAAATAATTCTGGTTAATTGCACTCTTTTTTCTAATTTAACATTCGATCCGTTCGATTTGAAAATGAGATATCTGAAAATTAATTTCAAGCATCTGCTTTAAGATATGGAAACTGATTCGAAATAACCCTCATGTTTCAGACCTATTTTTTTTAAGCATTAAATTCCTTTGATAATAATAGCGCTTTCGGTGGTGAACTTATAAGGTATTTCTCTCACCTTCTTGGCATGCCTTCGTGGTGTGGTGGTCTGCACACTGGGCGCGTATTCCAGAGGTCCGCGCTTCGATTCCTGGCGAAGGCGTTGCTCATTTTTCATCTTTCATGCTTCCAAAAAAAATAGCTAATGTATCTACAAACTTTCATTATGCATCTTGCTGTCAATTTAAAATGTTCAAGAAAACTAGAAAACTTGATGCAGAGAATGAGAACTAAGCCCTGTATTATAGTAGTAACAGGTAATAGGTAGAAAGGTGAGAGAAACATGAAAATCAACCGTACTGTAGCCGGGTTTCCAAACATGTATCTTTTGTTAACTGTATGTGCTAATCGCGTAATTCACAAGAGCATTTAACGGTGGGGGGGATTCTGTAATTCCTTACAAATACATTTCTGTGCGCAGTTGCTCTAAAGGTTTCGACTCTTACCATACTAATACATACATACATACATACATACATATATATATATATATTGGAAGAATGCTTTAATAATGTAAAACATTTCTCAGATTTGTTCTGTTCCCCAGAGGCAAAAACCTGACCAGTAGCCTAGTGTGTAAGAATTTTAAAAGTTTGTTCCGTATTCGATATAAAAAGGCTGCTGAATATAATATAGCACTTATTTTACGCTGTGCTAGGTTTTAATGATTCTTTACATGCGTAAATAGATGCCTGTTTTTTTAGTTTTGTTGTCCTTATCTAGCTATGTTTTTGTAAGTTAAAATACAGATTAATTTAAGTGCCATCGAGTCCAAAATTCGACAGAAATGGGTAGTTTCGTTTATGAGATTACGGCAAAACTTGGAGAGTTATTAAATTAAAAAAATAAAACCCCAAAATCCTGATTGCGTATTTTCTCTAACACTCGTAAATTTATGCGATATGAGCTTCAAGAGTGGTGGTGGTGGAACTTTGTAGTGGTGGTACTAAAGGATTGGATTGGATTATTTAATTATGGCAAAGCAATCGAGGGCTATCTGCCTAAGGAGATGGATGCCTTCGTGGAGGACTTTCTAAGGGAAACTGTCTCGTAAGCACGTTACGCATTTTGAAAACCACGAAAACGCCTATGCAGCCAGTCCGTTTGCGTGATTCGAACCTTGGACCGAATTACCAGTGTTTAGCGACTTTACCACTTGACCGCTGGTGAACAGAGATGGGTAGATATAGCGAACGATAGCATTGAGGCTACACTGTGAAAAGGCAGTTCACCTTCTCTATACCTTTTTATCCGTACAATTATCAAGTTTTAGACCTTATTTAGTTCTCACGGTCCCAAAGTTCTTCGATAATAATTTCAAATCTTCTCATTATTATTAGAGGCACAAAGGAATCAGATTTGAAATTAATGAAATTGTAACATTTACGTGTGTTACGTATTACATTTATATGATATATTTTAACATCCATTCTTCTGTAATATGTTTTCGCGTTCATTTTGTTGGGAAAAATAAAAGGAACTTGTAGAAAAGGGATTCATCTATAATGACCAATCTCAGTCCTGAAGATGGGACGTACATATGTGAAGCACAGATGAGAGAAAAGGGTAATCTAATTGTGTACACTATTAAAGGTCTAAAGACCTACTTCACAATGTGGAATTTACAACAGCTGTCTACATTTGTTGGTATTTATGTCAGTTTGACGGTGGTAAGTTGCAGTGCTACTGTGAGACATACAGGGTGTTTATAAAGTCCCGGACCCATTTTGATGTTTAATAACTCATAAAATAATGAAGATATAAACAAAATTAGGGCATTTATTGATGGAATAACTTATATATTTTCCTTTTCAGGTTTGAATATCTTTACTTTTGTAAATATCGTCTGCGCGTGTAGTTAATTTCAGATAATTTCATTTTCCAGTCTAAATATCTGTACTTTTCTAAATATCGTCTGCTTATTAATTGCATTTTTCTCTCTTTTGTTTTTGGCATCTTTCTGGCATTGTTAATCACCATAATGTGCGCATATGGGGATCTGAAAACACCCATGAATACCGTGAGTCACAGACGGATTCCCCAAAGGTTAATGTATGGTGTGGACTAATGCACGACCGAGTCATTGGGCCTTTCTTTTTTACAGAAAAAGACGGTCTCATCAGTGGTATACTTAGACATGTTGAAAAACTTCGTATTTCCACAGCTAAAAGAGCTTCAGCCACATGTCTTTTTGCAACAAGGTGGTGCACCACCTCATCGGGGTACCATCGTTCGTAGTTCTTTGAATGACCATTTTACAGGAAGATGATTGGGCGAGGAGGTCCAATTCCTTGGCCACCCAGATAACCTGATATAACGCCGCTGGAAGTTTTCCTTTGGGGACAACGTTTACAGGAGGAGAGTGCCATTGAT